TCAACTCCCAGAGTTGGCTGGCTGGGGAATTCTGGGAGTTGAAGTCCACCCATCTTAAAGTTGCCGAGTTTGAAAAACACTGCTGTAGATCCATTATTTACCCACCTTTCTTGTATTATTTGTACCGTATTTCTTATTTTCTCATGTTGACATTCTTTTTACCGTACTTAACATTTTTCAAAAATATTTAAATTCTGGGAGTTGAAGTCCACCCATCTTAAACTTGCCAAGGTTGAGCAACACTGCTCTACCCGAGCGACGTAGGAGGAGAAAGCTTGAACTTGCAAGCTTCCAGAGCAAAGCTCAGCCTGGCAGCGGGCTCGAACCCGCCACCCATTGGGTGCCAAGCGCCCGGGCTTTGGTCCTTCAAAATCCGAACGAAAGGGTCGGCAGGAAGGGTTTAGCTCCGTTCAGCGAGTGGGTCTTCTCCAGCCCCCGTCCTCCCGCCTAACCCAGTCTCGGTTTCCCCGCAGGCTACGACTTCGCGGCCGTCCTGGAGTGGTTCGCGGAACGGGTGGACCGCATCATCCTGCTGTTCGACGCCCACAAGCTGGACATCTCGGACGAGTTTTCGGAGGTGATCAAGGGGCTGAAGAACCACGAAGACAAGATCCGGGTGGTGCTGAACAAGGCGGACCAGATCGAGACGCAGCAGCTGATGCGGGTGTACGGGGCCCTGATGTGGTCGCTGGGCAAGATCATCAACACCCCGGAGGTGGTGCGCGTCTACATCGGCTCCTTCTGGTCCCACCCGCTTCTCATCCCGGACAACCGGAAGCTCTTCGAGGCAGAGGAGCAAGATCTCTTCAAGGACATCCAGTCCCTGCCCCGCAACGCCGCCCTTCGGAAGCTGAACGACCTCATCAAGAGGGCCCGGCTGGCCAAGGTCAGAAGCCCCATTCATCCAGACCTTTGGGCGCTGGCTAGGGGTGATGAGTGTACAGGTAGTCCTCGCTTAATGACCACAATAGGGACCGGAAAATTTGTCATTAAGCAGGTGACCGCGCCCAGTTTTATGACTTCTTTGTGGCGGTCGTTAAGCAAATCTTGTGGTCCATAAGTGAATCATGCGGTTCCCTATTGATTTTGCTGATGCCAGCTGGGAAGGTCGCAAATGGCAATCCCGTGACCCTGGGATGCCGCAGCCATCATAAATACGTGCTGGTTGCCAAGTGGCCAGATTTTGATCACGTGACCACTGGGATGCTGTGACAGTCGTAAGTGCGAGAACTGGTCATAAGTAGCTTTTTTTAGTGCCATTGTAACTTCAAATGGTTGCTAAACGAACGGTCATTAAGTGAGGACTACCTGCCGTGTGGTGGGGTATAGGTAGCCTTGGGCATGTTTGGCTGGCATGTGGTGGGCACGCTCATAGAATGGCCGTCCCAGGACACTTGTCGATTCCCGAAAGCGCCCCATTGAACAGAGAGCAGACTGGTCTCTTGGCCCCAAAGTCATTCCTGCAAATAAACTGTCCAGCATCTCCACCAGCTTACTATTTTTATTTTTTTTCCAGTTTAATGAGGGTTTTAAAGTTTAAAAATCAGGTGCGGTGCGCGACGATCAGTTTTATTTATTTATTCTCTTACTGCATGTCTGTACTGCCTCTGTTCATAGAAAGTCTGGCCTTTTTTTAAAAAAAAAAAAGGCTGAGACTTTAGGGGTGGGTTCGACAATTTCCCACCAAACGCGTCCTATTTTTAGGATGTGCTGTTTGTGAGTACATAAACAGCAGCCTTCTAGGGTACGACTCTCAAAAGCTAGTTTTGTTGAAACTCGCAAAGTTTCCAACAGACGGTCCTTTAATACGGGAAGCCCTCTGCATTAAGGACCACGATACGAAGAAATGGGAACGATGCACCTGGGCGAGCGGAACGTGAGCGCAGTCCCCGCCGGACCTTAAGCTGGTCGTTAGTGTTTGTAGCACTGTCCACGTGTGCAGTCGCTTGGCCGTGCTCCACTGGATGTACCAATGCACCAAAATCAGAAGTGAAATCCAAGTGAACCTTTGAACTTTACTTGTGACACGCAACCCGCAAAGGGAGACCTCCTTCCTCCTTTTTCTGGTTTTCCCCAAAGAAACCCTTGTTTCAACTCCGTTTGATGTGCTGAAGAAAGAACATGCCTTTTCCGAAAGATTGATGCAGGGCGGAAAAAGAACAGGGCATGCTTTTTAAATAAGCTTGGCCGATTAAAAATAGAAGTCACACTCAGTAAAATCTGGTGTTTGTTAAGGTTTTTAGGAAATTAGAGAAATTTCCAGAAAGCCCCACACGCCCCTTCTGAGTTCCTGGTGCGAGCGACAGATTTTCCTCAAGTTCCCTAAAACTTCCTTTGTGTTTTGCGAGGGGGGGATTTTTGATTTTCCTACACCCAGAAGGGCTTTCTCTTGCGCTACACCTTACAGCAACAGAGAAATCGCTTTCCCCGCAGCTGGCTGACCTTGTCTCAGCTAAGCAGGACTGGATGGGAGGCCACCAGGAGATCCCAGAATAGTAGATTAGACTTGAAAGCCAAAAAAGCTCTCAAGTCTGGAAGAAGGTAGTGGCGACCCATTTTTGTAAGAAAACTACACGGATCTCCCCACAAAGTCACCAAGGATCAGGTTTGACTTGAAGATGTTACCTTCTTTTTCAGGCAGGTGCTAGGTTTGTTTTTTTTTGGCTTTTTAAACCCCCCCCCCCCCCCCGCCCTGAATTGCTGAAAGTGGATGGCAGATTCCTGCTGTTTTGAGGTGGGAAAACGATGAAAAATGGTTTTTGGTTCTTCACTTTCCAGTCCTCTGAGAGCTACGTGGGAAGACCTAGTGGAGCGCAGTGAAGGCAGTCACACTTCTAAAATTTATTTTTTTAGATTTATTTTTATAACAGCGCTCAATCCAGCCAGAATCTAGTTGTTCCCTGTTTAGGTAGGGCAGTGTTTCTCAACCTTGGCAAAATTTATATTTTTGGGGGTGATAAATCCCCCAATTCTACACC